AGGTAAGGTGCTTGTGTTGCTTGTCTTGTCAACTCAGGCTATATCTCTGCACAGCATATGGTCCCCTAAATACTGTCAAAAATGATCCCTGAGCACAGAGTCAGGAGTAATCCCTGAGCACCATTGGAAAGTGCAGTTATGCCTGCATGCGTGCGTGCATATGTGCATGCGTGCGTGCGTGCGTGTGTGTGTGTGTTTGAACTTTTCTCTGACCTCAGCTCTAGATGAGCTTTTTCTTAACTTTTGGACCACTCCTGGCTTGTGGCATTGCTCAGGGCTTTCAGATCTCTTACAGATCTATTGGCTCTGTGTTCAGGGATCACTCTTGGCAAGCTCAGGGAACCATATGGCATGCCTGGAATTGATCCTAGGCCTGCTGCATATAAGGCAAGCAACTTACCTGATGTAGATGGAAATTTCTTAAGTGACACCCTCACCACAGGAGGAATTCATGATATATCTCATAGCATTGAATTTACATTTGTTTATCAAAACATACTCTGAAATAGAAGTCAAAAAGCAGGCTACAGATTGAGAAAATATCTTATCCAGTATAATATACCAAACAAACAATAAATAAAAAGGATAATTTTATAAATATTTAAATATCCTTATTATTTGCTAGGAAAACTACAATCCAATTAAAAATGTACAAAAAGACATGAATGCTGATGAGCAATATGTACTCAAATTCAATATTAATAAATTACAAATTAAGAATGAATGAGCGGCATCTTGAACTCCCAAGAAACCTCAATGAGCTTGGTTATTGTGTGGATATGGTCGATGGTGCTGAATCCTTTGCAGAACCCGGCTTGCTCGCATGGTTGTCCTTCATCTAGTGTTCTGCCAATCCTATTTAGGATGACTCGAGTGAACAACTTGTAGATGACAGACAATAGGCAGATCGGGCGATAGTTGCCAATGTCATGGATGTCTCCCTTCTTGAACAGTAGTACGGTCCTGCTGTTTTTCCATTGGGACAGAACCTTGCATTCAGACAGGTAGCGAGTGAAGAGCCGAGCCAGTGTATTGATGAGTACTGACGGCAGGTTCTTCAGGTGTTCAGGTCTGACCTTGTCTGGGCCGGGTGCTGTTTGTTTCTTTACCGACGAAATGGCGTGTCGGATTTCGGAAGGGAGAACGTTGGGAACGACATATCCATCCTGTGGAATTTGGTATGTCGGCAAGTGGACATGGCTATCGAAGAGATTTGAGTAGAAGTCATGGATAATCTTCTCCATTGCCGTTCTGGAGGATGTGATGGATCCATCAGGACGTCGGAGGGCAGTCATCTTGGTCTTATAGTTGGCGAAGGACAGGCGGGCGTTACGAATACTTTTCCCGGCTTCTGCCACATCTACCAGCACTTCTGGTCTTCTCTCTTTGAGGTCTTCCTTGATCGCATCTCTGCACTGCTTTGCGAGCTCGGACGTTAGCTTGCGGTTGCCTGAGGCATGCGCCAAACCACGCTGGCAAATATGCTCAAGAGTTTTCGAAGATAGGCGATTTTTTGTGGCTATCTCTCTCTTGGCGTTCCTCGCACATTCATGGAGGTGCTGAACCAGTCGATCTTAACCAGTCGATCGTATTCCTCGTCAATGTTGTCAACAATGGCATCTTCCCATGTTGCCGCAATAGTACCAAAGAGTTCCCAGTTGGTGGTCATTCTGGGAGTTCTCTTTTTGAACTTTGCAGCCCTTTCTCCCCGCTCTGTGAAGTAGAATTTTGCATGAAGGAGACGGTGGTCCGATCCCGTTCGAAATTTTGGGACAACAGCGACATCGGTCAGGCAAAACTGTCGATTGAATATGATGTGGTCTATTTCGTTGTGGGATCGTCCACTGAGAGACTCCCAGGTCCATCGTTTAGGTTCTGCCTTCTGGAACTGTGAGTTACCATGAATGGTCTTGCTCAACATAATGAACTCAGATAGTCTCTCACCCTGTTCCTTCCATTCTAGGCCATGGGTCCCGATGTGAAGTTCTTCAGCTGATCTTCTCGGTCCTATCGTGGCATTAAAATCACCCACAATGATCTTGTAGAAGGTGTGGTCTTCTTTATAGAACTTCTCTAGCTCCATGTAGAACCTCTCGATTTCTCTTTCTTCATAATGAGATGTTGGTGCATAGACAACGAAGATAGAAACTGCAGGCAGTGAGCCACATCTATTCAAATGTAAACGTCTGATTCGTGTTGTTAGGCATTCGAATGAATCAATGCTCTTGGCCAAGTTTGTGTTGACAAGGATACCGATGCCTCCAACACCTCTTTTATCGCATGTTCCGAGGAACAATTCTTCTCCAGTGTCGAAAACGGCATGGTGAGTTTTGTGCCTTCTTGTCTCGGTCAGACCAATGATGTCGTACTTGATCATTCGCGTTTGTACCATCAGGTCCTCGATGGATGCATCTGATGCTAGCATACGTGCATTGAAAGTACAGACAATCATTTTTGTCTTCCTTCATTGTGGCAGCCTAGGTCGGCCTTGAGATTTTGTCGGCCTCTCCTTTCTCATCCTTCTCAGTGCTGCCATGTCAGTGAAGCCTTCAGGGTCAGGTGAATGAGACCACTTGTAGTTACTGGTTTTGGCATATCGAATACACAACAGATAGCTTGCCAGGCTCTTCCGTGCGGGTGGAATACTCTCGGTAGCTTGCCAGTCTTTCCGAGAGGGATAGAGGCTTTTGGGGCGACCTCTAATCACCCTTGTAGGTGTTACCATATTTGAACCCTATCAAATACGGTACGACAATTCCGGAAGATGGGTATTTAGTGTCTTATGATGGATCTGGAAAGCGTCCTGGAGTGTGGCGACGGCTGGGTAGTGGAAGTAGTGTCGATCCTCTGTGAGCTGTATTGCGGATTCACTACCAGGATCTCACCATTCTACAAAGAAGTGATCATTGATGTCAAGAGAGGGGTGCGGCAGGGTGATACCATTTCACCAAAACTCTTCAGTGCCACCCTCGAGAACATCATGCGACGACTGTAATGGGAAGGAACGGGAGTGAAGATAGATGGTCGGCAACTACACCACCTCCGCTTTGCTGATGACATTGTTTTAATAACACCAAACATCAGCCAAGCAGCACAAATGCTGGCCGACTTTGACCGTGAGTGTGGAAAGGTAGGACTACAGCTGAATCTTACTAAGACAATGTTTATGAGAAACAGCCTCGTTCCTGACGCCCCATTCGCTCTCAACGGAACGACCATCTCCGAATGCAACAGCTATGTGTACCTAGGTTGAGAGGTCAACATGACAAATGACCTGGCACCCGAGCTGCGCAGGAGGAAGAGAGCGGCTTGGAACGCTTTCAAGAACGTCTAAGAAATAGCTAAGAGGACGAAGAACCTCTGGATCCAGGCACATCTCTTTGATTCCACTGTTCTTCCTGCATTAACATATGCCTCAGAGACCTGGGCCCTATGCAAACAAGATGAGAACGATATTCAGGTCTCCCAAAGACGAATAGAAAGAGCTATGCTTGGAATATCACGTTTCACTCAAATGAGAGAAAGAATCCAGAGTTCTGACATCTGTCGACAATCAAGAATCAGGGACGCTGTCTCATTTGCCAAGGTGTCGAAAATCGGATGGGCTGGTCACGTAATGAGATTTAAAGACAACCGCTGGACTAGAGCTGTTACCGACTGGATTCCACGGGATGTCAAAGGACCGCGTGGCCGCCCACCTACCAGATGGTCAGACTTCTTCGTCAAGATCATGAACGATCACTTTGAGCCCCTTCATATTCCCGGAGCGAACAGATGCCATCGGGCTACATTAGCATGCGACAGGGACAAATGGAGACGTTACTGGCACCCACTCGAGCAAATTGACGACTAACGGGAAGTTAAGTGATTAAGTGTGACAAATTAAGACCACATGATAGCACTTTATATTTAGGCTAAAGAATGGTCCTTCTGGGCCAGAGAGATAGTGCAGGGGTAAGATTGTACTATTGTACTCCTGAAAGAATGACCCCTGGTGGTACTTGCATTTGGTACCCCAGCATTACGAAGGGTAATTTCTGAGCTCAGAACCAGGACTAGTGTCATTGTGTGCCAGGTATGGCCACGGGGGAGGGGACAAAACAGAACAGTCCTCCCTTAATGACTGGGTACTAACCTCCAGCACCTAAAAATTAGTTACTATGTTACTTTCCACAGAAGAAGAGATTATGCAGTTGTGATTAAGTTATGGCTCATGAGATAGAAAAATTATTCTGAATTATCCAGTGGGTCTAGAGTTTCCCTAACATAAAGGGCAAAGAGTTGCCTTGGAAATGAAGGTAATGTAACTGCCAGAAGCAGAGATTAGAGAGAGTCAGAGACCAAACTAATGAGAAATGAGTGCTATGTACAATCCCATGAACCCATGACACACATACCAGAAATAAGACCACCTGACATATCAGCATTAAGAGCATAAAAGTCAACTCAGATAGAAAATATGAGTAAAAGTAGACTTCATAATTTCTTTCCAAGATTATAAAACACAAAGCTTTTAATATTTTTAATAGGTTCTTTATAATAATTACATGTTGTGTGTGGTGGTGGAGATGAAGCCCAGGATGTCACATGTGCAAGCAAGGCAAGTACATAAGATTCACAATTTTAAAAGTTTGATTATATTGTTATTATTAACAACATCTTGGTTGAAAATGTCAGCCTGCCACAGTGAAGCCACGAGTACGCTATTCCTGATGTTAAATCTACACAGTCTGGTTGGTGGGGGTTAAAATGTGCATTTCAAGAGGAGGATGCTGTAAGATAGATACAGAGGACCAGTGTTGTGGATCATTAAAAAGAAGCTGGACATGGTGATAAGCCCAGGAAGCACAGGGTGGCATGATGAAGAAATCTCTTGCTATTTTCACACTAGCTTGGAAAATAAGCCCAAGAGGGTCTCTGCTTAGGTTGACTTGTAGCTTCCAATTTTCATATGCAGAAGACTTAACCTCAGAATGTCACCTTATTTAGAAATAAGATCTTAAAAGATATAATTAATTTTATAAAGATATAATTGATTTTAACCGTATGCGTGTTGCAGGCCGAAGCCTCTTCCATCCTTGTCAAGGGGAGTGCTAACCTTCTCTCCTTTCATACAACACTCAGCTCCTGGGAGAGAACAAGACAGAGTCTCCTACCCTATGCCTGACTGTCTCCACCAGGGCCCAACAGCTGAAGACCACCGAGGCCCAGCCAAGGCCATGCTGGGAGCACTCTCCACACACTTGGATGAGCCTCACGCATAAAAGAACTGACAGAGGAACCCAGGTGTGTGGGACCCGGGGCTGAGATCTCCAAGCCTGTACAGTTTGGGACTGGACCTGCCAGTAACTAGACAGTTACACCCACCAACTGCCGTGTAACTCCAACAACGGCCAGGATCCAGAGATCATCACACTCAGCTCCTGGGAGAGAACAAAACAGAGTCTCCTACCCTATGCCTGACTGTCTCCACCAGGGCCCAACAGCTGAAGACCACCGAGGCCCAGCCAAGGCCATGCTGGGAGCACTCTCCACACACTTGGATGAGCCTCACACATAAAAGAACTGACAGAGGAACCCAGGTGTGTGGGACCCGGGGCTGAGATCTCCAAGCCTGTACAGTTTGGGACTGGACCTGCCAGTAACTAGACAGTTACACCCACCAACTGCCGTGTAACTCCAACAACGGCCAGGATCCAGAGATTATCACACTCAGCTTCCGGAAGCACGCAGCCGCATTCGCGGCCGCGCGACATCTTATCATCTCATTCCTAATTCGGTCAAACTGGCAGGCTACCAAATGTAACATGCCCACACGGCAGAGTCTGGCAAACTCCCCATGGTATACCCAATATGCCAAATACCAGTAACAATGATGGGTCTCATTCTCCTAACCCTGAAAAAGCCTTGAATATGGCACTTTAAAAAAAAAAATCTCAGGGCTAGGACGAAGAAGACGTTACTGGCACCTGCTCGAGGCAATCGACGAACAACAGGGTGGTCGTGATCGTGATTGTGATAATTGATTTTAAAAAGAGGTTATTAGAGTGGGCTTATTCCAATACGATTGGTGTCCTTACAAAAAAAAAGGAAAATCAAACAGACATGTACTGAGGAAGATTACACAAAGACACAGTGAAAAGGAAACCATTTGGCAAGTCAAGGGGGAATATCTCAGAAGGAACTGAACCTGTCAAAGCCTTGGTCTTGAACGTCCAACCTCCACAACCTTTGAGAAAACTGATTTCTGATGTTGAAGTTATCCAATCTGTAGCTTTTTGTAATGACATCTCTAGGTAATGAATATAGTCTCCAAGCCAGATAGAGTAACAGTCTCTCCTGTGTATTTAGAGATTTAAATGTGGGTGCTACCAAGCCTGAAACACACCAGAGCCTTCTGCAGAATGACTTCTGAGTGGATACTGTGGTATCATTGTAGAAAAATGGAAACTGTCAAGCACAATTAGATTTTAAACCCTTAGCAGATCCTCTTCATAATTAAAAAGTTTAATTTCACAAAAGTGCCACAAATGTGTACCTCCATCTTAGCTCCTTTTTAAGTGATCATTGCATATCAGTATTTAATGTGCATATTATGGTCCAGATACCTGCCATTGTCAATAAATATTCCTTTATGTTCATGTCATCTATAAAATGGCTGTAAAAAATTTACACAGCCATTGTCCTAAATGGTTGCCAAGGAAATGACAGGAAGGACTCTAGATTGTGAGACACTGGAACCAGTCTGAAAACCACACAAGCCTACAGAGCCAGCCAATGCCAGCCTCTTCAATTTAAAGCCAAAAGAAACTAATAGAACAGAAAAGGAGGCTGCCACAGATGGGTCAGAATTAAAGAAGCCATTCACCAAGCAGTAGTAGACTGGCTGACAAATTTTGATGAGGATTTTGGAGCAAATGGATGTGGATTTCACAGAGGTGATCAAGGTCATTATCCTGAAGGTACATCAATAGAATGAACTGATGTAAAAATAATCTTGAACTTGTTCACTTAGCAGTGTTTCTTCATGGCAGGGAAGTTAGTAAAATCCTGTCTTCCCTGTCACTAGCAGGAATATGGTACCTACTCCACACTTAAAAGAACAAGCTAGAGAGGCTCAAGGAAGAACAGATACCATCAGGAGTGCAGACATTAGGAGTCTTGTAAGGCAAACTCAGATTTATTGAGTACAGGCCAGAGAAGCCCCTCATACTGTGTCTTTTAGGAGAATGCACAATGCAGAAGGAAATGAGATTATTCTAATAGGCTGTACCTTGGAAAATCTATGGGAGTGAATCAATTTGAGGGACAGCTAGAATATATCTGGTGGTACCTGGGGACTATTCCTGCCCTGTCCTCAGGGGTCACTCAAAGTGGTGCTTGGAGGGACATTGGGGCTGGGGACTGGACCTGAGTCTCATACTATCTCTTCAGATTTAGATAGATCATTTTAAAGACATTAGCTTAAATAACATTTGTGGAAAGCCATATGAAACATGCATGTTTTCTACCTTTAAAGATGTCTGTGATTATTATAATTCCTTTAAAATAACAATAAAACAACAATGTTTCCCAATATTTCAGTAAGCATCTTAGATGATTAATTATGGTGCTGGATGCTTTAAAGACTCATATTAATATATAGACTCTCTGCTTCTCCAGCTTATTTTTTCAAGATATAAACTAATAACCTTTAAGAACTTTATTTTATGGAAGTAACATTGGTTTGCTTTATATGGGCTTCAGATGTGCAGCACTGTAATTTGACATTTATATATTCTATTATATACAACTCTTATGATTGCCTCCGGGATTCTAATGTCCATCCAACACCTTACAATTAAACCCATTGACCTTATTTACTCTTCTCCCAATTCTTCCCCTTCCCTTCCTTTATCAGCAAGTTGTTACTGAATAATAGGCTATTTTTAGAGTTTCTTTAGACATAAAAATTAGTCAAAAAGTAGAGTTCCATGTACTTCTCCCACCCTAGCTCACAGTTTCCTCTATTTTAAGCTCTGGCATTGCCATTATACATTTGCTACAAGGTTGAGCCCAAATAAACATACCATTTAAAGTTCATCCTTAACCAGTCATCTCTTCTTGAGCACTAAGGTTTTTTTTCCAGATTCTAGCTATTGTAAACAGTGCTGCACTGAACAAACAAGTGCAGATGTCACTTCGACTATACTTTTTTGCCTCTCCGGGATATATTCCCAGGAGTGGTACTGCTGGGTCAAATGGGAACTCAATTTCTAATTTTTTGAGAATCATCCATACTGTTTTCCAAAAGGGCTGAACCAGTCGGCATTCCCACCAGCAGTGAAGGAGGGTCCCTTTCTCGCCACATCCATGCCAACACGGGTTGCTTTTGTTCTTTTGGATGTGGGCCAGTCTCTGTGGTGTGAAATGATATCTCATTGTTTTGATCTGCATCTCCCTGATGATTAATGATGTAGAGCATTTTCTCATGTGCCTTTTTGCCATTCAGATTTCTTCTTTGAGAAAGTTTCTGTTCATTTGGTACATCTACACAATGGAGTACTATGTAGCAGTTATAAAAGATGAAGTCATGAAACTTACATACAAGTGGTACTACATGGAAAGTATCATGCTAAGCAAAATGAGTCAGAAAGAGAGGGACAGACATAGAAAGATTGCATTCATCTGAGGAACATAAAGTAACAAAATAGGAGACTAACACCCATGAATAGCCGAGATAAGGAAGTTTACTTCATGGCTTGGAGGCCAGCCGCAGATGCTAGGGTAAAAGGCAGCTCAGCTAGAGAAGGGAGCACCAAATAAAGGGTGTTGGGAGGATCCTCCCAGGATGGGAGATGCACGCTTAAAGTAGACCATTGACCAAACATGATTGCCACTCAATGCCTCTTTTGCAAACCTCAGTACCCAAAATGAGAGAGGGAACAAGGGGGAATGCCCTGCCACAGAGGCAGGGTGAGATGGGGGGATGGGGGTGGGAGGGATACTGGGATCAGTGGTGGTGGAGAATGGGCACTGGTGGAGGGATGGATACTCGATCACCGTATAACTGAAACCCAAACACAAAAATTCGTAAGTCTACAACTGTACCTCATGGTGTTTTACTAATAAAAATTTAAGAAAAAAAAGTTTATCCTTTATGGTAAGGTACACTCTATTGTTCTATTGTATGAAAACTGATAAATGATAACAAGTATTCACTTTTACAATATTGTACTGTCTTCAAAATCCCCTGTGGTCAAACTATTAAAACTCCCTCTCACCATTAAACTAAACCCCTTGCAACCATTGTTGTTCTGACTTTATCTATAGTTTTGCATCTTCTTAAATGACATGTCTTTAGAATCATTGTCTGCAGCTTTTTCAAATCTGACTCTTTCACTTAAAAGTGTGCATTTAAGATGCAATTTGATGATTTCTTAAAGAAGTGCTAAGACAGGGAAAAAAGTTTTTTTTTTAATTTTTTATTAATGAATCACCGTGAGGTAGTTACAGGCGTACAAACTTTCATGTTTGCATTTCAGTCATACAATGGTCGAGTACGCATCTCTCCACCAGTACTCATTCTCCACCACCAATGGTCCCAGCATCCCTCCCACCACCCCCACGCTTTCCCCTCCAACCCACCCAGCCTCTGTGGCAGGGCGTTCCCTTTTGCTCTCTCTCTTCCTTTCTCTCTCTCTCTCTCTCTCTCTCTCTCTCTCTCTCTCTCTCTCTCTCTCTCTCTCTCTCCTTTTGGGTGTTGTGGTTTGCAATAGAGGTATTGATTGGCCATCATGGTCAGTATATAGTCTGCTTTCAGCCCGTATTTCCCATCCCGAGCGGGTCTCCGAGCACCCTTTACTTGGTGGTTCCTTCTATATCTGAGATGCCTTTTCTCCCAGCATGTGAAGCCAGCTTCTAAACTGTGGAGTAATCCTCCTGGTGCTTATTTTTACTATTCTTGGGTTTTAGCCTCCCATTCTGTTACTTTATATTCCAAAAATGAGTGCAATCTTTCTATGTCTGTCCCTCTCTTTCCAACTCATTTCACTTAAAATGATACCTTCCATGTTGATCCACCTATATGCAAATTTCATGACTTCATCTTTTCTAACAGCTGCATAGTATTCTATTGTGT